AGAAGTTGATAGGAGGAGAAAAAAGAGCAAATGACTGAGTGAGAATCATGCTTGCAATAAGCTCAGCTGTGAATGGAAGGATAGGTGTATAGCAGGACACAACGGTAGGGAATTCTATTTTCTTGAGATGAGAGCAAAAAACACATTTACACGCTGAGAGGCAGCAGCTCCAACACTGGGTCAGGGGTAGCAGGTACCAAAGTGACAGATCAACAAATGTTGATTTACTGCATGCCAGGGACTGTTCTAAACACCTGTCATATATTAACCCATTTAATCTCATGACAATTCTATGAAGTAAGTAGTATTATAGATGAGGAAACCGAGGCACAGAGCTCTTAACTAACTTGCTTACGGTCAAAACTAGAAGCATTTGGCTTGTGATTCAAACTCCAGGCTACCCCATTTTAGGCTCCATAGCCTACGTTAGATACTACAAGATGTTTCCGGAGTCCTGATTTAACTCCTGCCATCTTTCTGTGCTAGAGCTTAGCAGGGGCCATGGCACGGCACAGTTACAGTACAGCTGAGGGCGTGAGTGCCCCTTTGGATGGAGAAACCCTGCGCAAGTTACGGTGAACTCTCCGGATACATTCGGAGGGGGAGATGGACGTGCCATCCGGGTTAGCTCAGAGGCCATGAGCAGTGAGGTTATGGAGCACAGCCAATGGGAAGCGTGTAGACGGAAGATACTTGGGGGCTACCCTAGCCTCCCATCTTTCATTTACCGCATATCTAATACATGTTCCCCACTGGGCAAAAAAGTCTGTGAATGCACAGCGTGAACAAAGATCTATGGGGACCTGTGACTTGCTGGGGGGAGTGTAAACCCTGAGCCCCTCCTCCTAATGTCAAGGTGGACATTTGACCCAAGACCACGGTCTTAATATTATGTTGATACTTGGTTATATTGAGATTACGGTACATACGTTTTTTTGTTTTTTGTTTTTTTTTGGTTTGTCTCCGGTACCGGGAACCGAACTCACGACCTTGCGCTTGCCAGGCAGGCACTTTGCCGGTGAGCTAAATCCCCAGCCCCTATACGTTTTGATATATCTTGTATATCTGCTACTCCTGTGTCTGCAAAGGGAGGATAATGTCAGCACTTACCTCACTGGGCTGTTGTGAGAAGCAAATAAATTAATATAATACAGGTAGTTTTAAGTAGTATCCAGCTTAAGAAGGTTTCTTTATTCCAATAACACCAATACTAATTATTACTTTATCTAATAATTAGTGAATGTTTATTATGTACCTGCCTCTAAAGAGTATTATTTATACTGGCATCTCACCTAACCCTCATCATAAAACTCTGGGGTACAAGTGCCACATTATTTCTATGTCACAGGCAAGAAACCTGAGGTGTATTGTCTTTGTGAATTTATGTATTTTAAAAAAGTCAATGTTGGGGCCGGGTGTATAGCTCAGTGGCACAAGCGCCTGTCTGGTAAGCACCAGGTCCTGAGCTTGATTCCCAGTCCAAAAAAAAAACAAGTCAATGTATAGATAAAAAAGAAATATTGAGGAAGATTATATTTAATGATGGGGTATTAAGTTTATCTTCTTTATACTTTTCTTTAATATACAGATTTCCCTTAATAAATGTGCAATATGTTATCTAACAGTGAATTTAATGGTAAAGTTTGTCTTGGTGGAAAACCTCATACCTAGAATGGTCCCAAGAAATATCTTTTTCAAATGCCTCTGAATTCCTGTGTAGAGTCTGACTTTGAACTCAGGTGAGAAGTGCATGTAGCACTAATCTTGTCAGGAATTTTTACTGACCCTATTTGGGTTTTAAGTTCTGGCTCCATCATTCAAAAGCCACATGAAGTTGGTCTGGTCAGTTCATTTTCAGAGCTCTTTATAACCTTCAGACCTGGAATCAGCTAGTGCTGTGAATGCTCCTCTTTCGTCATCTGCTCTTCACATCCCTCCTCATGCCTCTTTCTACAAGATGCATGGGTGCCTGGAAGCCCCCAAAGCATTTACTTATAAGAAAATTCTGTTGGCATCGTGGGCTCTGCAAGTGGTTTTATAATGGGAAACTGTCTGGGGGAACAGCCTCATGTGTGTTGAATAGTGGTTCTAGGTCTTTCCCTTCCTCTGGCCAAAATCAATGATTCTGAGCTCTTCTTTTATAGTTAGTTCTACATTCAGGATGACAGCAGTTACCTCAAAGGTAATCGATGAATTTGCAAAGGAAATTAATTTAAAGTCATCTTTCTTTAGAAATGAAAATAGGTCATGCATCGCTTTAGAAAGAGGAGTGAAAACCTGAGACGCTCTGAAGGTAGCCTAACAAAGGTGGGATACTGGAGTAGCAAAGAGATCGGAAGTGAAGGCTTCAGTGTTTATATCCCAGTGAAGCCATCACAGTTATCTCTCCTCGGGGATGATGGTCTTCCGCAGTAAGTTTATCTCCTAACCCTCTAATCTGTCATATTCATTAATACCTGGTTATTACTATGCTGTTGAAAAGTCTTTATTCTTCATTTTGACCCCCAAACCATTTTTGTGACTTTACTTATTACTGTATTGAATGACTTATTTATGGTTAATTTCTCTATCAGGTAACATCTATCTCAGTGCCTTATTCCATAAACATTGGTTAGATGCTGATGGATGGATGGGTGAGTGGGTGATTGGGTGGGTGGATTGGTAGTCAGTAGATAAGTGGATGGATGGAGGTCTGGGTGGTTGGGTGGATACACCATGACTTTGAGTGTGATCAATGAAAAAACTGTGAATTGGAATTCAGGAATTGACAAAGTTGATTTCTGTGCCTTTTTTTTTCTTTTTCTCCACCCCTCTCCTCATCTTTTATTTCTTAATTTTTCTTTCTCTTTATTTTCACATAGGAAAGAATAAAAAAGTGATGGGGTGGTCCAAGATTGATTGCATAGGAAAACCTACAATCCTTAAATAATGCAAAGTTAGACTCACTCAGATGCCATGTGTTACTTGAACTTTTCCCTGCTGCTTCCAGAAGAAGAAATATCAGCATGGAAAGTGCATCCATTGGGGCTGGTGATCATGGAAATAGTTATGGATGGAGGTGAGATTTGAACTGGACCTTGACAGCAAGTATTGTTTCAGTGAGCAGAATCAATGTAAACTCTATACGGGAAAGGGCTGTACCTGTCTTGTTTGATTGTTTCTAGTGTTGGTTAGAGTATGAAACATAATATGTAATTCTTGGGTAAATCAATAAATACACAAACAAAGGCAGTATTGAGGAAACACTAAACATGTTTTTTTTTTTTTTGGTTTTTCTCCGGTACCGGGAACCGAACTCACGACGTTGCGCTTGCCAGGCAGGCGCTTTTGCCGCTGAGCTAAATCCCCAGCCCCTAAACATGTTTGATGACCAGTAGTGTCTACGTGGCTGGAACTGTGATGTCTACTGGAAAACAAAGTTGTAAAAGCAGAGGTCAGGCAAACTGAAGAGGACTTTAGCATGGAAGGTGTTTAAGTTCTCTACCCGGTAGGCATCTTCTACCTGCCTTACCGCTTCACCCCTCCAGTATACCTGGTGAGCTATGCCTAGAGGAATCCTCCAGGGAGAGGTAAGGCAGCACTACAGGACTGAAGAATTATGAGAGGAGGCCCTCCTAGCGTGGGGCACCCTCCAGTTGCATTTGAAGTTGGTCTTCCCCACAGGAGAGAAACTGTTAGTGGTACTTTGTTGGGTGGGCAGGAAGTGACTGTGGAGGGACCCATACTTGATTCTCTAAATCTCTGTCGTCCTGGTGTGTCCGGTTGATCACTGGGGCCCAGCTTCATCTCTGGGTCACTACCCTTGTCAGGTTGCCTGAATCTGCCCCTAACTGGCTCAAGTGATTAAAAGCAATCTTTTGATAGCTTCTTGGCAAGCTGCCTTCAGTGTTACACCTGCTCTGAAATATGACTCCCTCCCAGAACATCTCTCGGGATGTCTGAGTAGCTCTTGTGTATTTCCCCTCCTCCCTGCTACCTGGCCAGGACTTAATCTTCTGAGATTTTTCTTCTCTTGTCTACCCCCGCCTATCTCTTAGGTTGAACCAGATTGTTCATTTTAATCTTCTTCAGCCCTGGTCTGCTTATGTTGACTTTGGCTTCTTCTTTGAGCCAAAATATTTACCTATTATTTTTTATTTGTTCAAAGTGTTATCATATTTTGAAATATCAATGGCGGTATTTTTCCCTTCTTGACTGGCTTTACTTCCCTATTGCTTTCTACTGTTCAAACTTTTTTTTTTAATGCTCTAGAAAAGGAGAACGTGGGTTTCATGTACATGAGGTAGATAATTTCTCAGCATTGATTTCTAAATTGGAGTCAAAGTATTAAAAAAAGATGTGGTCTTCACAGTTAGGCTCTCAAGAAATGTAAGATTATTAAATCAGAATTCTGAAGTCTGGGAATGATTTTCCTTCAGTAACTCAGCTTGGAGGACTAATATTGGCGTAATCAAGCATGGGAGGCAGAGGGTAGGATAGAAAGAAGTTCTTGTTTCAGAGAAAGGGGGAAAACAGTGCTAGGTAGGAGAGGCTTAAGGTCGGGTGTGAGAGTTATTCACCTGGCAGTGGGTGACTTAGGTGAAAAGCATTCTAAAATGGATTTGGGGGTGGTCAAGAACCTCAAAGTTTATTGCTGCTTCCTTGGCAGTGTGCTCCGGAGAAGGCTGTTGATCAAGCTCCGACTCTGTGTGTGTCCCAAAGCCAACATACACAGGTGAGATTGAGGAGACCGGGTGGAGGGTGGTATCTCATGGCAAAAGAGGGAGTTCTGAGGAAACTGAGGTACAGAAGATGCTTGGGTTTCCAGAGCGGCCATGGGTACATCTGTGGGCACCATAAATGGACATCTGAGCAATGCCCAGGGAATTAGGTGGCCCAAGTCATGTTTGACATACCCAAATTCAAGATGCCTAAGCTTGAAACATTGCTCTCAGGGGATACCAAGAACTTCAGATGCACCAAATGCTTGTGGGTAGGACAAATAATAAAACGAACACACATTTTACAGCGCTTCATAGTTTAGAAATACCTTTCTCTGCTGTGCTGGACAAGGGTATTAATCTGAGTGATAGTTTACAGATTAGATATTGGGGAGTTTTACAAAGTGAGGCGATTTGGCAGTGAGAGTGAGCTCAGGACCAGGTGTTCAAGTCTTCTGTCTCCAAATCCCCTTGGGTTTGCACTGCTTCCTTAGGCTCTTGCTGGTGAAATTGACGATGATTTCTAGAGTTCAGTTCTTTCATATCAGGCAGAAAGGGTGACTGCTGAGGCTGACTTTCCAAACTGCCTTTAGCCCTAGTTTTCTGCTTCTCCTCCCATGGCACCGTAAGGGACTGGGCCAACCCACTGTGCTCCACAAGGCAGAAGTGGGGCCCTCTGTCCTGAAGGGGGACTTCCGCCACCACCCACGACTGGTAAGTGCCATTCCCACTGGGAAGAACATCTACCCTTGACCCAGATTCCTGCTTCATGCCAGTCCGGATCCAGCGCAGACCAATTCCCTGTGGGTAGAAGTCGTAGGCCAGGCATTTGAGTGTCTTGTTTTTTCCTGGGACCAAGTAGCCAGTGACTGACACAGAGGGAGGGTCTGTGGAGGGATAAAGTGTGGACGTTGAAGACCTGAGGTGGACTTATCCCTGCCATGCCCCTCCCACCCTTGGCTTTCTAGAGGTCAGCCATCTGCAGACCACTAGAGTCTGCATTGGTTCCCTCAAGAAACCTTTGGGAAGCCTGGGGAAGGCTGAGGCTTCCTGCACGCTTTCCATGTTAGGTCATAGAATGCCTACTTTCCTGCCATGCCTCCCCTACCATGGCAGCAAACTGTGACTGCCCCTCCCCTCACTTCCCTATTTCCCCCCCAACCGCAGTGGGTTTTACAAGTCTCTCCTCCTTGAATATCAGCCCAGCTCCTGAATATCAGCTCTCCTCCGGGTCTACCTGTGTCTTGGTCCACCAAACTCTTCCCTGCTCATATTTTTTTCCCCCCTGCTCATCGCAGGTCTTATTTCTCTCTACTTCTCCTATCAAAGCCTCGGCTTGTGGCACTCAGCTCTCATGCTTGCCGGCCCATCCGGGACAGACATTTTGCATACTTTCCTTCTCTCCACAAGCAAGGCAAAAGGCGTCAGTGTAGAGAGAAACAACCCAACAACTGAATTCTGAAATATGGAATCTGAGTCCCAATTCTATCTCTCATGGACAGTGTGATCCTAACCTCTCTGAGCCCTAGCTTCCTCATCTATCAGTTGGGGATTATTTAGCAAAATCTGCCATGGAATCCCACCCAACCTGAAATTCTGATCAACTTTCTTTTTGGATCCCATATTATGTCCTCCCGGAGGGGTGGGGAATGCATCTTAGGAGGTGAGAGCCGGCCACTAAAGGATTCCACTAGTGGATGGGAGCAGCCTGAGCTGTCCTTCTGAGTTCGCAGCCTGAGATCACCTTGGCCTCCCTTAGCTCAGTCCCGGGAACAGACATAGGAAGCAGTGAGTACCTTGCCGGTCCAGGTGAGTCTTGCTGTAATTCAGGTACCTCCGCAGCATCCTGGGGCACTCCTCCTCCAGGTACGCCTTTGCCCGCTGCACGTAGACTTTTTCTGCCTCCCACTTCTGCTTGGTTTTCTTGGCTGCTGGATCCAAGGGGACCCAGGCGGGGATTTCTTTGTTGAATTCAATGAAGTCCTTCCCATCGTAGGCGTATCTCCAGAATGCGCCACTGCTTCTGTTATTCTGGATCTCACAACCAAACATTCCCTGAAAGGTGTGAGACCCTGAAGCCTCCCCCAACCCCACAAGGAGTTAGTCAACCTGGTGCCACCTCCAGCTGAGTAACTTTTATTCCTATACACTCTTTTTTTTTTTTTTTTATTCCTATACACTCTTATTCCTGTTGCAACCCAACAGGAAGAAAGATTTTGGAAAACTCATCACGTAATCCCTTCGTCTTGGCAAATAGGTTACTAGCTAGATATATAGCAGATGGAGAGAGGAAATTGTTTGGCTTGGCATTTCATGCCTGGCTGAGATGAGATACGTTCTTTAGATCCAGGGCACTTGAGAGAGACACAGACTATAGACAGATTTCTAATCTTTCTGCATCAGCTCATTTAATGAAGCTTATTTGTCTGAGTAGATGGAGGGGTCCTAGGAATTCGTTGCATCCACAGTGAAGTGTATTGATAAATTCAAAAGAAATTATTTATGGTTTCATATAATTGTGGGAATCTCTATATTTTTCTTAGTTCTAAATAGAGTTTATATCACCATTTCAGTAAAAATAATTTGATCACTTCCCCTACCCCCTGCCTCTCTCCAGGGTCTACTGTATAGTTTACACTGGACTTGAATTTATTATGTAGTCCAGGCTGGTTTTGAACTTGCAGTGATCCTTCTGCCCAAGTCTCCTAAATGCTGAGATGATAGGCATGTGCCACCACACTGGGCATCTGGTGGTTGGTATCTTTATCTCTGAAGCTCTGATGCCCTTGCCCATGAGGAACAAATCTCAGAAACTGATTTCCTTGGGGCAGGCAAATTTCATTATAAAGTAGGTGTTTACTTGGTCCTGGAAGTGCTGTTGGCACAGGCTCTGGTAGCTTTCAATTGATCTGCTCACAAATCCCAGATCTCTCCCCACCCAACCTGGCCTGTTGCATGAAATTTGAGCTTTATCACTCTGCGCTTCGCTTTTCTCATGACACGGTAGTAGTACTATTTTAGGAGGATATTGTGGGCAATTAAATGTATTAATACCTATACCTGGCATATAGTAAAAGGTCAATAAATGTTAGTTGCTGTACTGTTATTTTATCTCTTCATCTTTTTCACTGGTTGTCACTAATTTAAACTTTGTTCTTATGGTACTGAGGATTGAACCCAGGGCATTTGCACTGAGTTATGTTTTTAGGTCTTCTTTATTTCCTATTTTGAGACAGGGTCTTGCTAGGTCACTAACTTGCCCAGGTTGGGCTTGAACTTGTGATCCTTCTGCCTCAGCCTCCCACAGTGCTGGGATTCCAGGTGCACGCCATCACACCTGGCTCGCTTCAGTGTTTCTATTTCAGTCAGTCAAAGTTTCTACCAGTGTCCTCCCTGCTCCTATTTCTGACACCTGTCCCAGGCCATTTTCCCTATTCAGCATACTTCAGATTTCTATATAACTTTTACCTCCTTTTGAAAGCTTTCAGATTCTGTATAACTTCTTGCCCATTTTTGAACTCAGAAATCTACATTTGGACTCTTCCCCTACAATAATTTAACATCAAAAGTTCACCACGCCTGAGACTGACTGCCCTGGTAGGGGGGAGTAGGTATTGTGTTTCAGGGGAAACAGAACTTGTATCTTTCTGATTCTGCCACCTTCTCTGTCACCCCAAGTACAGATGATGCCCTTTGTGTCTGCTCCTTGCGGGACAGAAAAAGCTTTATGATTCCGTGTAATTCTAGCAGTTTGTGGTTTGGAATCTAGCTCTGATGGAGCTCCCACTATGGGTCATGCTTTGTGCTGGACACTTTCTTTCTACTTATTCAACATATTTCAGTTGAGCCAATATTACCAGCTGCATCCTGTCCTATGTCAAAGGGCTGCTGGTGAGAGCAAGACAGACTGTTACATCCTTTATGGAATCTCTGTGCACAAGTTCTACACAGTCTTTTAGAGGTAAGTCTCACTGCTCCGACTTTTGCACTTTCTGACCATATAATTAAGAAACTTGCTCCTCATCAAATAGGCAATGACTGGTGGAGCCACCAAGTGACCTCGGCTGTGACTAAGTCCAAGGTTAGGTCGCTCTCCACCCAGTGGGGAATGTTGATGCCTTTTGAAGTGGGATGAATCTCAGATGGCTGGGGTGTGAAGGCAAAAAGTCAGAGGTGGCAGGAGTAGGAAGTGACTCTGATATCACTTTCCATGTGAGCTGAGGTCTGGGGTGAGGCTGGGGGAGGCCATGGGAAGGAGGAAGCGTATGTGCTGTAGTGTGGGGAATGCAGATGTATTTGTGCATTTCTACTTATGCCTCCTGTTCCTCCTTTAGAGGAGGGGATATTTCCATCCTTCTGAGCCTTTCCCACTCATACACGTGGGGCTCTCTCTTGTACTAAGATCCCCCCAGTGGTTTGCAGTCCACTGACCTTCTCTGTCCTTGTAATAGTCCATGATGTCTTTCAGGGTCACCAGGAAGATTTCCTCCCTGGCCTTCTGAAGTTGGCTCTCCTTCTCCCAGTCTTCCATTCCTTTTATCTGTCTCCATGGCCCTAGGGGCTCTGCTTTTCTGCTGTCACTGTTGTAGTGGAAGAAGGCCTGGTCATTGAGGAAGGCAGTGGCTTGAAATTTGGGGAAGAGTCTACTGGGCTTGGACAGCCCCATGTAGAGAAAGGTCAGAGAGTAAGGACCTGCAAAACAGAGGAAGACTCTGAGGGCTGAGGTACCTGCATAAGGGAGCCACTGGTGGGCTGCAGAGGGACATGAGGGAACATCTGGCCATGGCTCTCTTCCTCTCCAGCTCTGTCTACCCAGTTGTCAAGCTCACACTAGGCTCTATGTGTGAGTGAGCTCTGTGTTTATTCTGGGATGACTTTTCAGAGATCCTTCTATGCCTTCAGCACACTGTGTCCTCTGACTGGCACATAAGATATGTCTCAGTGTCCTTATAAATGTGTGGGGCCATATGACTGAGTTCTGGCAAAAGGGAACGAGAGTAGATGCAGAGTGATGTCTTTCTTCTGGCCCAAGGCCCTGGGCTGGCTTACCCTCTGTATTTCCTCCTTTTGGACATGCTGAGGTCTGGATAAGTACCTCCCAAGGCCCATGCATTAAAGGCTTGGTTGCCGGCCTGTGACCCTGTTGGGAGGTGCAGGTGGTGGAACATTTAGGAAGTGGGACCTAGAGGGAGGAATTTATGTCATGGGGGATGTGTCCTTGAAGGGAGTTTGGAGACCATTGGCACCTTCCTTGTTTTCTTTTCGTCCTGGCTGCCACGAGATGAGTAACTTCTCTGCCGTTGCTCCTCACCATGTTGTGCTGCTTCATTACAGGTCCCAAGGTAACTGAGGCCAAATGACTATGGACTGAAACCAGGAGCCAAAATAAACACAGTGACGGGAAGCTACCACAAACAATGATAATGGAGGCCAAAGGGTGAACTAGAAGAGTCTCAAATGCAAACAGTCTGAATCCCTGGGTCATCTTATGAAGGAGATAAAAGTTGCTCCATTGCACTGACCATGATATCAGTGAGAAATCAAAATTTGTTGGATAAGTCACTAAAAAATTTATTTTTTCATTGAAGCCTAGCCTAGTTTAACCTGACCGATACATATCATTAGACAGGGTGGGAAGGAGCATTTACTAGAAAATTTAAAAAAGGATCCAGGTATATATCAGCACAGAATAATACTAGGATGGATCTTAGAATTCCTGGAGCTGTACTTGGCATTTTGGAACAAAGCAAGGACTGGAAGAGTGGAATAGTTCTGTACTTAATTCTGTAATTTGTCCACAGTATAACTCACATGGGTATTAATAATGTTACGGGTCATTTGGGAAATTCCTAGTTCAAGTAATTATTCTTGTAATTAGTTTCTAAATGTGATTAAAATTTAAGTTAGTTGTTGGAGGAGAACCTCAGTAGAGACACCAGAAAGGAATAGCAATCAGGCACGTGCCACACCCACCAGGGAAAGCTACCAGCATCGGCTGAAGGCTCCAGAGCGCAGCTATTTGGGTGGTGACCAGCAAAACTAGGGAACAGCGGCCCAAGACCTTGGGGACTGGCCCCTCACAGCAGTGTGCACAGAATGGCAGACACGAAATTGTAGGACTTAAGTTCTACTCTGTTGGGTTTGGTCTTCCTTTGGGTCAATTACTCCTTTATGCTTTCCTCTTCCACCATTATATATAATTTTTTTTTTTTTTGGTACCGGGGATCGAACTCAGGACCTTGCTCTTGGCATAAGGCAGGCACTTATGCCACTGAGCTATATCCCTGGCCCTAATAGGATTCTTTTTTTTTTTTTCCTTTTTTGTACCGGGAATCAAACTCACGACCTCGTGCTTGTGCCGCTGAGCTATATCCCCAACTCCACCATTATATATTGAGTAGATAATTTGTTTTGATTTCTAGGCTCACAACTCCAAGGAATTTGCCTTGACGCTTGGATGAAACTTTTGATTTTGGATTTTTGAATTAATGTTTTGACTTCGGATTGTTGAATGGCAAGCCCCCTTTTGTAAGTCTCTTTAGTTGCACTGTCACACCTATCTTGATGTCCTGAGTCATTTAAAAACATTTGTGGTAATTTCTGTCAAGTAAGAATATTATGGCGTGCAATAACAAATGCTGGCAGGCTATGGGGAAAAAGGAACCCTTTTCCACTGTTAGTGGGAATGTAGACTGTTGCAAATGGAAATCAATGTGGAAATTACTTCAAAAATTAAAACCAAAGGTCCCATTCAACCCAGTTGTTCCCTTTCTTGGTATCTTTCTGAAAGAAAGGCATCATCCACAGTGATATATGCACACCCATGTTTGTAGCAGTATAGTTTGTAGTAGCCAAATCTTGGAAACAGCTCAAATGCCCATCAACCAATGATCGGATAAAGAAGATGTGGGTTTTTTTTTTTAAATACAGTGGAGTACTATTCTGCCATAAAGAAGGAAAAGCTTGAGAAATTTCTAGCTAAATGGATGCAGCTTGAGACTACTCTTAAGTGAAATAAATTGGACACACATGTTCAAATTTCACATGATTTCTCCAGTGTAAGTAACTGAAAGTGTAAAATTTATTATACATATTGGGAAATGGGAAGAAAATGTTCAGGTGAGGAGGGAAAAAAGGGAGGAGGGAGGGGAAAAGGAAAGATGGGGCAAGAAAAAAAGGATAGAGGGAAAAATAGAAACAAAGCTTTTCTAAATAAGGAGGGGAAGAGGGTTGAAAGGAGGGGAGGGGAATGGGAAAAAAAAGAAGCAAGTACTTCATGTACAGGTACAAATTCCCTATGATGAATGTTATCATTATGTATATCTATAAGAATTTAAAAACTGTGATGTATCCTCATCCACCATATTCACTGGATCTAGTATTGTGAGACTTCTAGCTCTTGCACAAAGTCAAGACGACCATGAAAGGTAAACATTTTGAATTGACTCAAGATATCGAGGCAGCCACAACAGTGCAACTAAAGATACTCATGAAGGAAGACTTCCAGAGCTGCTTCGGAAAGCGGCAAGAATGATGGGATGAGTGTTTGAAGTGATGGGGAGGATTTGAGGGGCATTAATGGCATTAAATATGTCAACTACTGTACTGTTTAAAAATTTAAACACATACCATAGTTTTTATCAGAGCTGTATCTATCTATCATCTGTCTAATCTTTTTTTCTTTTTGTCCTTTTGAGACAGGGTCTCACTATGCAGTTCAGGCTGGCCGTGAGCTCACTTTGCAGCCCACGCTGGCCTTGAACTTGCACTGATTCTCCTGCCTCAGCCTCCCAGTGCTGCGATTACAGGCGTGCGCCACCAAACCTGGCTTAATCTGTCTGTCATCTATCCACCTGTTCTGATTCTCTGGAGAACCCCAACTAATACAGATTTTGGAGTAGAATATACTTAACATTCTAAATGTGACTAATTTTGACACAAGTAACAAATGTTCAAGCTGGCAGTTTAGAAGTCACTAGCTTCCATCTTTTCATCCTGAACATTAGCTTGCCATGACAGCCTCATTCCCCATCCTAGAACTGACTCTGGATCTCCTGAGCCTGCACTGTTTTCTCTTCTAGCTCCTCACCTGTGCTCACTGTCTGACTGTGGGGTGAGAGCCTGGGTTTCCTCCTAACATTCTCCTTCCCGGTAACCTGCCTTTGCATTTGCCCCCCTCCTCCCCAACGCAAATAGATGTGACCATCTATTGGAAGGATGGCAGGAATAAGAGCAGAAGAAGCTCTCTGTGTGGTTTCTGCTCCATCCTGCTGTCTGACCCCAGGCAGATCCCTGACCTTTCTGGGTCTTAGTTTTTTTTTTTTTTTATAGCTGGCTTTTAGGTTCAGATTCTTTGTTCTTATTTATGTGTTCAGAGGCTCCCTGAAGAAAGCATGAGCTGAACTAACTGAGGGCTGTGCACACACATTACTACGGGAAGCCGCATGAGCCCTTTGCCCTCCCTCTCTTCTCTCGTACCTCCCCTTGTTTTGCCCACTCACCAGCTCCTGGAGTCTCCCGGTAGATTGCAGGACCCAGAAGGAATGGCAGGGACAACAGTATAGGTACCATTGTTACCACTGGGCTCAGTGGGACGATCTGGACAGGAAGCCAGTCTTCCCCTGGTCCTTGGAGCCCTGCCCAGGGGAGGTGAACTCACCAACCAATGAGAGAGCGAGGATGGACTCCTCCCCAGTCAGTGAGGAAAAAGGTTACGTGCTCCAGGTTGACAGAATGTGATTACAGGGGATCTACAGACTGGGTCTTCAAACAGACCCAAGACAGCTGATCCTAAGCTCAGGACTCAGTGTATTCCTTCAGCAAAAGAATGCCAGTAGGCTCTAGGTGTGTGCGGCAAGTGACAGACACTGGGGATATGTGTTATCCTGACAGTTATTGCAGCATCCCCACCTTAGCGTCAAAAGGGGGTTTGCATATTGTCAGATCACACTTCACCCCTTTCCTCTGGTAAAGTTCTCAGCGTGTCCAGGGCTGGGGCTGCGTAGACCCCAGCTAGGGTGCGAATGTCACTGTTCCTACACTCATCCTGCTAGAACTGTGTTTGAAGAACATTCATCTCTCCTTTTCTCCATGCTGTACCTGCAGAATCCCAGCCTTCCATCATGGAAGCCAGATTTCTTCTTTTTCAGCCTCCTTTGCAGTAGAACAACTGTGTGTACATGACTTAGGCTCAGCAAGCCAATGCTTCTGCTCTGGAGCATCGAGTCAGGTGTTAGGGAAACACACAAGGAGCTGCAGTGGATGATCTTTCCTGAGGGCCTTGGTAGTGGCCACAATCTCCAGCTCCATAGCTATGGGGTCCAGTTCAGGGCACTGTCACTGGGCAATGCTTTGGCTTCTAGTGCCCCCTGCTGACCACTTTAGTGTGCTCATGGGACTAGTGATTTCAACTGTGCCTCTCCTAATTCTGAACTTCGGTTTTCCAGTCTCTGTGGACTCTGAACACGAGCCAATAAATACATTTATCTTTTCCTTAAAGTTAGAACTGAACTGTTCCCAGCGACAAGTGACCCTGGCTAGTACTGCAGTTGGCACAAGGATTATTCTCAGTCAACAACTGCTTAGGGAGATGGAGGGCTTGGAATCTGGGCTTGGTTATGGGTCTAGATTGGGGCTGAAGACGCTGCAAATATGAAGATCTAGAGGAATTCTTGAGGCCTGGTGTGTAGTGGTGGATAAAACTGCTCAGTGAATTCTCTCTTGTGCTTATTAAAGGCAACATTTCAGATCCTCAGGGGCTGATATAATAGGACAATGTGAATGAAATAAGGAATTCAAGGACCAAGGTCTGGGAAGTTGGAGTCTAAAAATGGTAGAAAGCTTAAAGAAAATGAATAAATTCAAAGCAAAAATTATTTGCATCAAATCAGGCAATTTCTATGTTAGTACAGAAGGAAACTTCTATATTTTACAGTTGCAAGAATGAAAAAAGACAATAAAACCTAATAATACCTAATCAATAAGATTTGATATGCTGGGCGTGGTGGTGCACACCTGTAATCCCAGCACTCAGGAGGCTGAGGCAGAAGGATCACTGCGAGTCTGCGACCAGCCTGGGCTACAAAGTGAGCTCAAGGGTGGCCTGAACTGCATAGCGAGACCCTGTCTCAAAAAAAAAAAAAAAAAAAAAAAGACTTAATAGCAAAAATAACAAAGACACATAATTACCAAAATCCAATAATAAAATGTGATTTAGAAAGTCTTACCAGTTTTATGCAGTTGTTAGTACTTACCAGATCTTTATCAGAGAAACAACTTAAGTCTGATAGAGCGTCAGGAAAGGCCTTGTGGAGTGTTATAGCTGTGCAGCATATTGGACAGGAACAGAATTTCCATTGGCAAATAGTGGGAAAATTTCATAAGAGCTGGCATTGCATCAGATTGCTTTTTCTGTCCCCGGTGCTTATCCCAGGGCTTGGAACAAAGAAGACAATCAATAAATGCACAAACAGATCAATGGATAAATGGGCAAAGACAAAAAAATGAGAACAGCAGCAGACATATTTGAGGGTCACTGAGACCATATTTATTCTTTTCTTTTTTTTTTTGGTACCAGGAATTGAACTCACAACCTTATGCTTGCCAGGCAGGCACTGTGCCACTGAGCTATATTCCCAGTCCCATTGAGACCATATTGATAGAAAAAGAATGTATGAAAGTGACTGCAGAAGTGGCCAGGCAGGAGAGAAAAATGTAAAAAGAAAATTAGAATCAGATTTTGGAGAACCCCAATGCAACCATCTCTACAAGGTTTAGCTGACCTCACTCCTAACGCCTTGCCAGTTGCCACTCCCATGGCCTCTCCCTTGGGATGGCTGTGCTCGCTGCCTGCAGCTTTCCTTGACTTATATTCCACATGCCTAAAATCTCCACCTTCCTGGGGTTTCCAGGGCGGCTTCAGCTTCATACCCATAGTGTCACATATTGCTCTTTCAGAGGCTTCTGGCAGGGACTTTCACACTGTCACACACTGCATGGACTTCCAGGGCTTCTTTTAAAACCTGGGTAGAAGCCTCCATGACCCTGTAACTCTTGAATTTTGCATGCCTGCAAAATCAGCATCACGTGGATAACATTAAAGTCTGGTGCCTGTGTGAGCTTTATCCAGGTCCCTTTGGACCATGTCTGCAAATGGCTTCTGAGTGCTTGGTTGGATGAACATAAAGAAACACTTTGATAGATGGCCCTGAGTAAGCAAGATGCCCAAGACCTCTTTTCTCAAATCAAAGGTGTTCAAAAGATTTCACATTTTTATGCACTTAGGCCTGAGATGGGTAGGAGCTTGCTGATTCCTGACATACCTTCAAGGCAGCTTTCTTTTTGTCCTGGTGCAAAGTACTTGGTTTCTTTTTAATAGCACTAATATCTTCAGCAACCACATCTTCTTTGATCTCAACTTTACATCTGCTTTGTTTCTGTCCAAACTGCAAGTTTTAAAAATCTTTCAGCTCCTTTTTTTTGCTTCTGATTCTCATTGTAGAATATCGTTTTGAGCCTTTAAACCTTCCTCTTTTCAATGGGTCATCTACCCTCTCATGTCCTCTCTCCTCAAGATTCCTTGGTCCTTGTCTTCCTCCATGTTGGTGAGTAGAATATAAGAAACACTGAGCTCTTAGTTCAGGTAGCTGAAGATCCCTTGGCAGCATCTGAGGACACTCCTCACCCAGGCAGGCCTCAGCTGGTTTCACTTAGGTGAAACCCATTTTGGCTTCAGCTTCAAAGCTTTTGGTTCCAAGGGGACTCAGGCTGGGCTTTGAATTCTATGAAGTCTTGTCCATTGGAGGTTTTCTTCCAAAGTACAACCCTGTGTTATTTGTGTTTGCACTCTAGAGCTCTCAACTCTACTATGCTAAGTCAGGTTTTTGTCGCTGTGGCAGAATATCTGAGAAAAACATTTTAAGGGAGGAGAGATTTATTTCGACTCATGGTTTCCATGTTGGCTGGTTCCAAGGCAGAAACATCATGGTAGAAGGGCAAAGTGGAAGACAGTGCTCACCTCATGGCAGTCAGAAGGGAGAGAGAGGGATAGGAAGAAGGAGAGCGAGAAAAGAAAGGAAGGGGCCCAGGACAGCATATAACCTTTAAAGCCATGTACCTCTCCAGTAATGTATTTCATGCAGTTAGGCCTTGCCTGCTAATAAGCCCATTGAGCTATGAGCTCATTGATGGATTTACCTGTTGATGAGATCACTGCCTTCATGACCCAATTGCTTCTTTAGGTCCCACCTCTGGACCTGCTGCACTGGGGATCATGCCTGCAATACATGAGTCTTTTGGGGATGTTTGATATTTAAACAGTCACATCAGCATCCCCAAGTCTATGACCCTTAATCCTCTCAGACTTCACTGATAGTTTGTTGGCCTAACCTTACTTCATGCTTCATTCATAGTATGAACTCCATCTCTGTTAAAAATGTTGACTTTAAGGCTTTTGTTGATAAAGAGGGGAAGAGGGTTGAAGGGAGGAGAGGGGAATGGGAAAAGGGGAAGAAGCAAGATCTATCATGTACAGGTACAAAGTCCCTATGATGAATATTATCATTATGTATATCTAAAATGTACCAATAAAATAAAAAGTAAAAAAACATATTTTTCAGGACAACACTGGGATTCATGCATGCTAGGGAAGCACTCCACCACTGAGCCATATCCTCAGCCTCTAAATTTTTATTTTGTTTAAAAATTTTTATCCTATAAACCAGAAAAGCATTTGCCACTTTGAATTACATAGAACATACTGATTTAATAATCACTGTTGGTTGGGCTGGGGATTTAGCTCAGGGGCACAGCACCTGCCTGGCAAGCACAAGGTAGTGAGTTTGATTCCTGGTACTGGAAAAAAACCAAAAAAACCAAACAAAAAAAAAATCACTGTCAGTTGAGCTGGCTGGTCATTTAGTCAGGGAACTGTCAACATCTTTATTTTTAGATCTTTTCCATTAAGGTTGATAAAATTCCCCAGAGGAAGCCCTTCCAATCTCCTGCCTGGAGCAGGGTCTGCAAGAAGGCCTGGTGTTTAGCATTCTGGGATTTTAGAGGAAGGAAGGCTGGTGAATGCTTTGAAATGGGAGCATTCTGAAATGGGGGTTGTGGGGGAAGAGAATCTAAGAAATTAGAGCTTCTTACACTTCCAGTCCTCCTTGTTTACCCTTCCCCTTTTTAGTGCCATTTCCAGAGAAAACCTATACTGTCACTTCTTATACTTTTGGGGATTTGAAAATAGAAATCAGTTTGTTTTTAATCTTCCCCATTTACGGTATGAGATCTAGGTGCTTCCTAGATGTTTTCTCAGTGCTGTTGTTTCTTCACCCCCCACTTTCTGACCTCTTTGGTTTAAGTCTCTAAAAACATTCCTTTGCTTTTATTTTACCAGGCAGGCACTTATGCCACTGAGCTATACCCCTGGCCCCTGCTTTTGTTTTAGTGGGACCGAGTAAAAGTAGATGCCATTTTTATTGGAACTCTCTAGGCACTTTCCACTTAAAAATTCAATATATCTTAATTATAATGAGTAGATTTTACTTTTTGTTGTTTTTAATACCTGACTTAGCTCTAGTATTAGGTCAATTCTTAGGTAAATGTATTTTAGGTAAATGTATTTATTAGGTA